ATGTGCCTGTGGTTCATTTAAAAGAACATTTTGAGACCTATCAAAATGTACCTCCTTGCTTTAATTACATTTTTTCTGCAGGTCTTATTCAAATACTCCACATTTTATTCTCTCATTAGAGTCATGAACTCTATCTGTGTTTAAATTGTAGGAAGTATTTTGCTTGGTGAAGTAGTTTTGCACAATATGTTTGCATTGCACTGGAACTGATTGCAGAGTTTCCATACACGGGGCTCTCAAAAGCTTTGTAAATCTCCCCATTTGACTTCAAGTAAAGTTGATTCAAGTAAAGCCATTTTCTTTCTAATGCTGTTAAGAATTTGATATCCTGAACTACTCCAATTTAATCTTATTTTCATTCTTTTCAAAATATGCATGCAATGCTTTAAAAAATATGAATAAATGTACATACCGAACATAGTAAGTTTTATGACAAAAAAGACTGGAGTAAGGAGAAGTATCATCCAGCCACTGATGCAAACAGAATCAGAAGACACCAGGAAATACCAGATGTTACCTTTACTCATATAAAAAGAGACACTATCCTTCACTATTCTTTTCTGCTAGTGTTTCTTTGTGAAAAGCCTGTCCTTCCTATCTTTTCACTAAAGGAAAGCTCTTAAAAGTGCCCCTGCAGTTTTCTGCATGTTATTGGATTTACAGGTCACAGGAAAGTAGTGGGACTGCAGAGCTCACCAAATTCAATACAGTTTTAGGCATTTTACAGTCTTGGTAACCTTCTTATTCCATGAACCAGCAGACATTGCAAGGAATGAAAAAAAAAACAGTCAAAAAAACTCTACCATAACATTTGAAATGCATCAAAGGTGACAACAGCTGCCTAGCAGCCTGAAATAGATGTTTAAAGTATCCTGGCAACTTTGGTAGGTCAGTCTGCCATAGTTTACCATTCCTGGTATCTTTTTATTCTCCCCTACCATAACCAATCTTGTTCATATTCATTCATGTATTAACCTTCTTGTTGCTGTTGGGTTAGGCATAAAAAGATGGTATGGCATGTCCTGCTTGATAAAAAGCCACCACCTTTAGAACCATTTTTCATTTATCTGGATGACAGCCATGTGTTATCCATATCTATTATACAGTGTACAGCTATCAATAACACTCAGTGCTTCAGACCTTTCCTCATGTTTTATCCATTTTTACAAATTATTTTTTTTGATATTGAACATCCCTCTAGGCTACTCCTAATTTCTTCTGTTTGCCTCTTTACATGTCCCGCTATTTCTGGTTATTATTTATAGACATCTTCTCTCAGGCCTGCTTTGGGGCTCCTCAGCTGGAATACAATGTATTCGGGCTATTGTGCTTCATGGAAAACAAGTTGCTGGTTTTTAACGCAACTCTCTGGCAATTTTCCCAACCACTGCAGTTAAGATTTTATCCCAATGGGCTTGCAACATATCGTTACAAGTCACACAACAATGTCAAATGCGTTCAAAATAATTTCTGCTAAATGCCTCCAGCAAGTGAAATGAGATGGCTGCCAAGTTCATTTAACCAGTCTTTGCTTTTCAATCATTTAAGAGGGAAACATATCCAAACACCCCTGCCTGCCTATGTAATCCATAAGATTACAGTCCCCCTTGTTAACTTACTGAGCTAAGTCTGCAGCAAAATACCGATCCTAAACCTTAGGGCTTGGAACTGCAGAGATCAGACAAGTCTCAAAACCACGGAAAATGGCACTGTGTCATAAGTTAGAAAACAAAAAGTAAGAAGTCAGCAGTACGGTTAAGACAAGACCCATTAAAATCGGTAGGAAAAATGCCGTAGCTGTCACTGAAGCAGGCTCAAGTATTGTTTTCCTGTTATATGTTGGCTTCAGTCTCCTGTAGGAATTGGAGATGTTAACAATCAACAGGAAAAACGTAGATTACCTTTTAAGTGCTGGGTTGTTTTTCCTTTGTTTCCAAACAAAGGCCTGCTGAGCTTTCAATTTGTCCAGAAAAGGTCATATGGTCACTTTAAACATGCACCAGAGTGTACTTTTGTAAGAATATGACTCTAGGCTATTTCTAGGAATATGACCAGTTTCTACGAAAATAGCTGATTAAATGTAACTAACTCCATAATAAATTCCCTTCAGGAAAAAAATGTCAATAAGGAAATACATCGCTATATCATCATTATTCATTTTTTTAGTTATAAAATTACAACCTGTGACATGCCCTAGCTTGAAACCAGTGAATATTTTTCATGGGATGCCTATACCACTTTATACTCCCAGTAACAACATACAAATATTTGCTTCTTTACTAAAAGTGGTGACGCAAAAAATACTAGCTTTTCAAATAACTAACCAACCAAGCAGATTTATGGGCACAGAAACACAGCCTTACTAACTCAAAAATCTATTAAAATATCACTAAAATACATTCACATTGGGAGCAAAAAAGATTAATTATTTATAGACACATGAAATAAATCCAAAAATTACATACCATTTCCTCCAATTTTAACTATTGTAAATGTAGTTTTCCTCCAATTTTAACTATTTTATGTGGCAGAGAAAGGAGGGTCAGTCGTGCATTAAAAGGCAATACCATCGTATTTTGCTTGGTGCAGTATTTCAATGTAATCTTGAAAATTTAACTGAAAGAATTTTAAACTTGTGCAAGATGATGTACTATCCTTTAGAAAAGCTAAGGCAGAACCACTTCACTATTACTACCAATATTATAGTTTATATCCCAGTTATGTCCCAAAGCCCAAGGGAATTCCAAGAAAAATTAGGAAGAAATGAAAGGACCGTTTGCACAGAGAACCATCTAATTACAGTGCAATTCATAGTAATAGGTGGCCTGTGCATGCATGTAGACAGCAAGTTGTTCAAGCTGTTTCTGCTGTCTAGCCATGATGTGATTACTGCTTCATATCTTATGAAATGAATAATTTTTTTGATCTTAACATGAACTGCCAATTCAGAAAAAAAATAAAATTAAAAAAAATATGACATCACTGCAAGGTAAAAAATTTTCTGTCTTTCTCTAATCAAGGAACCAAACCTTCAAATCTCTAGAGACAAAGTCACTTCAGAAAAAAAAAAAAGAAACCTGGAACATTTGTCTTACAGCAACCTGAAGGAATTCCAGTCTAAACCTTCATTTGCATATTAAAATGCAGACTTATGTATTTAAAGCTGTGATGCTAACTCTGTCCAAGGTTCATTTATTAGTAATTCTGCCATAGGAATGTGTATCTTTTTTCTAAATAGGTACGACAAAAAGTTGCCTATGCCGCAATTTAAAGAAAAAAGTAATAAAGCTGGTCCCCGATTAGGTAGTCATACACTGATATGTACTATTGACTGCTCTGTGCAGCAGAATCTCAGAGAAATTTGATGCCAATATCATCTCAGTTAATGACGAAACTCATGTTACAACAGAAGGGGAATGGGAGGTAGGACAATCTAAGGAAATTTCTTTTGAATTCATCATAATTCATCCGTATCTCAAGTAGGCAAGAACATATTAGAAAACTACTGGAAAAGTGTTAACTTTCCACTTGGACACCACACACATAAATATGAAGCATATTTCTTGTTTGAATGAAAAAATAGTCAATTTTCCAAATCGCCCAGCTGGTTTGTTGCCTGCTTGTTAGAAGTAAGGTAAGCTAACATTTAACTTAACACCTTTAATCTGACAAAGGAGCAGTTCATCATGCAGTTCACACCTGCAGCTAATCAAACAGTGGCAATTATATGTGAAACGTAAAATTTGCTGAGAAGGTTACATGATTTATAGAAACCACACAAGTAATAAAATAAGGGCAAAAAATAATATCTACTCCTACGAACACGTAATAAAGCAACTAAGTGAAAGGTATTGTCTATCCTTGTTCACAATAAACAAAGCACATTGCCACCACATTAAAATTCAATGAACATTAAAAATTCATAGTAATATAACACACTTGATTCCAGCTTTCATCTCAAAATATTTCAATACTCCTGTACAGCCAAAACCATATGTCTTTACTCAGGCATAGCTTCAACTGTGTACGGAGGATATGGCCTTGTGTTTAATGGTGCATAGAAAGACATACAGATATATAGCCCACAACTCTGATCTCAGTTAAATCAGTATCACTCCACTGATTTTAATGGGAGCTTCTACTATTTTAGATTTCTTTCCCTGAGCTCATAATTAACTCTATTACATTTTGTGATCATACAATTACTGCTTACAAATGCAGTGGATACCTCTGGACTGAAATGCTACAGCTGGCTAACATCTCACAGCAAAACTGCACAACAGCTGAGGACAAGAGCTGAAGAAAACTATTTCAGCCTGCGTCTGCAGGAAGAACTTAGCTAGGGTGGCTGTGTGCATCCAAGCTGGAATTTGGAAGAAGATCTTTAGTTTTTCACAATTTCACGATCAAATGTACGGTGAACTCGGCAGAATATTTTCATTACTGACTTTAACTCTCAAGGTGTGCTTTATTTTGTTATGTTTGCATTTACACAGGTAACGCAGTTCAATGTCTCAACCTGCCCTTCAATATCAGCATATTTATAATGCACTTCCCATTTCTTCCTATTATCTACCTCACCTAGTACTGTATAAGCAAATAAAAAGGACCGTGCCAGCAGCCAATTTTACAGAGAAAAGGTGGAATTGTCACTCTGAATAGAAACTGTACATGTTGTATTTGGTCTCAGTCTAAATCGTATCCTAGGGGTTATCTTCATTGGTATCAGATATGAATAACAAAGTGAAAGCCTAAACCCATGCTTTCATTCCAAGCTATGTTGTTCTGCATTTGTTTCCTTTTATAAGGGAGAAATTTCTCTGTTCCAAAAATCATTACCCGCTGTCCCAAAGGGCTGCTCTCACTTGCTCATGCGAACAAAGGATTCAGTGCGCCACAATGTCAGCAAGAAAAATTGTTCAGTACAAAAACAATGCATTTATCAATAGGCAGAACTTGGTAAATGGTAATTTATAGGCATATGACTGGCATAGACTTACCTGTAGGAGATCCCTCCATGACATGACCAACATAGGGTCCTTCTTTGAACATTGGCCTATTATCATTTTGATCAATAACAGAAACGTCTAGACGGACTGGGCCATCAATGATTTTCCCACTTAAATCTGTGACCTCAACTTCCAGCTGTATGAACAAAAAGAGAGGAGTAAATCCATTAGTTCATTATCAAGGTGAACAAGGAGCAAGAAAAAAAAAGCTTACATCAGCATTGCTGTAAGCAGCCCTTGGCAGGGATACCACTTGCAGCTTGGGGACTGGGCTAGGAGCAGACTTTAAATTTAAGCAAGAGAGAAAGACAAGATATCCATTCATATCAAGATACCATTGGGTAATTTGAAATGCCAAATTTCCTGAAGTATGAAATAACAAGAGTATGGAGGCAGAAGGGATCCTCCAGAATTTAATACTACTTATGTGAAGATTTGCTTAGAACTTGTTCCTTTACTTTTTTCAAGCACAATCACATTTAAAGCGCACACATATAGAACTATCACAGTATCATCTACTTATATCTTCTAATGCTTAGTTCAGAGCTTTTACCAAAAAAAAAGGTAAGAGTGCTTTTAAACAAACTAAATACATTTTCTCAATGATGGGGGAATGAAATATTATTACGTTAGATACTTTTGACACTTCTTCAGTTTGTTGACTAAGGTACGGAAGGACAGAACTCCACAGACAGTCTTATATAAACAGGAACATAAAGCACACACACGCTCACATCCCAATGTACAAAAGCATCTGTTGGATAAAAGGATGATCCGTGCAGCTGGAGATTTGTTAGGACTTCTTTTACTCCCAAAAATTGGAAAGGGAGGTCATAGCATATATCTCAACTCTCCACTAACAATGGGAGGTCACACTGAGTTACTAAAACGTCAGCAGCCATTAGGGTAAAGCACACCAAAACTTCTGATAACAGAAAAAGTCACTTCAGACTGCAACCATGTTCTGCATCTGCAGTTCTCTCTCTCCTCACCATGACATCAATAAAAACACCAATAAACACATCGGGAGACAGCTATCATTTCCACCTGCCTTATACTTCACTGACCTCAACTCTTTAATGGAGTAAAGCCAGTCAGTAAATTAACCTAAGCCCAGATGTTAGTATCCCCCCTCCCAGTCTTCCCCTAAGACGCATGTGGCAGCAGGGGCTGGAAGTCTCCAAGTGCTTTGATAGTGATAAACCCAACTGGGAAAAAATTAGGTCAGAACTCTAATTCCTTTATTAAAACGGACGGCTTATTATCACATCTCAGTGTATTTTGTTAGGCTTATAAGTACATTCTGCTTTTATAGTTGGACATGCTGGGTGCAGGAACATTCATGTTATGGGTAAACTATCTGCTCACACACGCTAAGCAGCGCCATGCTCCGTTCTAACATCTACTCACTTTGCTTTTCGTGACTTAGCCGGAAAGTGTACTTGCAGAGCCTTCCTCAAGCCTTACTTTCTACCAGATATATAGCTTAATAGCTAAAAAGTCAGCAAATACACTGATGTGAAGACAGCTGATTCTTGTAGCATTGGCACAGGTGAAGTTTTATGGGGGCACATGTCCCTTTACTTTCCAGGGCTTGTTTAACACTGGACTCTGAAGTCAATGCAGCAATCGTAGGATTGCATATGGTATGATGGGAACTAGGAACGAAAATTCAGTCTTGCTACTGAACTACATTGAAGCCAGACACTGTTTTAGATATAGTTGGAAACTGCTGACAAAAAGATTTATCTTGGTAAATGTTGACTCATCAAAACTATGTTAACTGCTTTAGGGAATGGAAGAATAACAATATTTCACTGTGAAATTCCAGTAAATTCGTTTTCAAATTCAAGATAATTTGCTCTTAATCTATCTCTCAACATTAAGTGACTATACTGCTCACTAGAAAGAACAAAGGCTTTACTAAGTTTAAAAAATTACTTCAGCTACCCTTATCAAAACTATAAGTCATCTTAAAACAAAAGTTGATCTGATATTTGGGTTTTTCTCACAGACTTCCACAGATTACAGAAGAGAATAGGATATTCCTATTAACGACTGGAATAAATTTACTTTATTACCACAAAGTCCATCAGGTCTGAGGCCTGTTAGCCAAAAAGTTGTAAAAAGCCTATGGGAACTGTTATATGACCCCTGCTTCATTTTATTCTGATGACAGAGGACTTCGTTTTACTGGTCTTCATACAACATCTTGCAGGTTTGTACTAAGCCTTACTCATTACTTGACCTGCTTCTTTTATTTGGAAGATATTATGGAAGAGTGGGAATAAAAGCCTTAATTACAACCATCTACCTTTACATGTCCAGTTTGTGAAAGATGCTTCCTTGCATCTTATGTTGCCTGACAACCCCCAGCTCCCAAATAACAACAAAACAGAAAACCAACAATGTGCATTTTCTACTTTAACAAATAAAAAAACCCACGCACGACAAAGAAGCGTTTAAGTAAAAGACAATATTGGCACAAAAACAAATGCAAATAAAGTCAGGTGGAAAATTACATTGTGTCTGACTATCAGCCTTTCAACAAGGAGAGGTAAGAAAGCCCATCTACTTTTAACGTAAAACTTGACTGATGTATGCAAGATGCTTCATTCCTTCCTTCGACAGCAAGAGGCCGTAATTGAACATCCAGAAAGTATCTAAGTTCCTACCTGATTACAACAACATAACTTGGAGGAAAAATGGTAAGCGTAAAGATAGATTTGGGCAAGTTGTCCAAAAAAAAAAAAAATCTGCAGAGCTCTATGAAGTTATCTATTATGTGAAAACCTGATAAGATTGACTATGCTTCCAATATTTCAAATTAGAAGTTATGACATTACGTTCACAAGGATGAAGGGAATCATAATCTAACCAACCATGTTTTCAGGAGCACTCAAGGCTAAATCCTAATTTAACTTTTGACAAAAGTATACCTGGAAACTACAAAGGATAGTCAAGGGTGTTATGAGAACTGTTACAGCTCACAACACAAGTCTTCGTGACAGGATGCAAAATAGACTTCGGCTACTGCTGCTAATAGAGTTGAAAAACATTGGTAAAATTAACCACGCCCATAAAAAGAGGAGAAGCAATATAACACCGAAAATTTGAGGCAGGAATAGACTTTTGACTTTTTCAGTACTCTCCATTCCCAAAAGGGACCTCCTGACTTTCCATCCTATTTTCCTTACCATATCTGAAGTGAGGATCTTTCTGGTCACCTTAAATAGAAGGATTTTATTAGAAGTTAGGTAAACGTATTCAAAAATGCTGTTAAAAGCATTTTACTTTATAT